CGGCACACAGCACGTTTAAATTTGATAAAAAATTTTGTTGTTTAAATAATATGTAAAGGAGCTTCGGCAAAACGAGCGGAATTAGGAATATTTGAAGAATCTGACTGTACTTTTGTTTCAACACATGAAGGTCAATATATTTATTCAAAAATTTTATTTTATTCGAGTTTTCGAAAATCTGAGGTTCTGCTTCCCTTTTAGATACCACAATTTGTCAAACAATTTTCACATCAGATGTCCGTGTAAGCAACAATGCTTTTGGTTGTTTTCCCGCATTAACTAGACCAAATTGTAACAAAAATCTCTGCTATCATTTAAAATTCCGAACTTTGGCTGGTTCGTTTATTTATTAATTTTGGGCAAATTGGGTAATTAAAAAACGTTTTTTGATAACCTTTCTATGAAAAACATAAATTATTTTGTTTATAAAGTTTAATTAACATTTTTGTTAAGAACAGTAGAAATACATCCATAGTACATCGAATATTTTTGTAAGCCAGAACCTCGTTCTAGGCTATGAATATTTTTTGTAAGATTTTATCACGGTTACTAAGGATACCGATATATCCGTGGTTGGGTTCGGTCATGATGTGCCGCGGGTATAAACAGATGTTGATATATCCCATAATTTTTATAACGATATTGATATTAAAATTCGTATCCGTGTGCTTTTTTGCTTATTCATCATCACTTCAAATTAAATTTATTTCGAATTTAGGAACTTGTAACAATTTGGAAAAGCCTTTGTTTGGTGCGGCATTTATGCCTTTGGCTAGGTGAAAAATTAATTTTTTCGATACCGTAATTTTATTTAAATTTTCAAGGCTAAAAGAACCTGTTTACGATGATAAGATGGCAGCTCCTGTTGGTATATTATTTTTTAAATTTTATAGAAGCAATACACTGTCCGACAAAATAACGTTCAGACTATAATATTGCTACCCTTTTACGTAAAATAAGCTCGATTTAAGTTAATATTATATTATGTTATCCTAATATCTAGGCCTTAAAGGCATTAAGTTTAGATTAATACAATAACTACGGATCTGGTTTATATGGATTTCCATATTTTTCCTGTTTAGCATCATGTTGATAAGACCGATGAGAATTCTACCACGACTGTACACGATTCAATCCAGAAAACCTTCAAAAGTACCTAAGCTAGAATTGTGAATAAGCTTAAAGTGTTTTAAATGTCCATAAAAATATTTGACTGTTCAGAATTTTCATTTTTCGGTTCATATTTCGAGATTTTTAATCCATATTATGTCCATCTTTTTCGACTGAAGTCCATATAAATCCTACCCATAATTATAACTCATACGCCCAAAATATTATTTTAAACTTTGTTCATCTAAACGAAATGAGCGGTTAATTTGACTCTGATGTGTGAACCAGGGCTGTGCGCCAAAATTTTCGCGTTGCGCGCCAAGCGCCAATTTTTCAAATTTTAAAAAACCGCCAAATGCCATGACGCACAGCCCTGGTGTAAACGGTATTTTTGTCGGACTGTATTTTGTACTTACGTGAAAATATAATATTAATTTCTTATCTCATCATATTTTCTAGCCTCAATTAATCATTTGAAGCCCTCCTCAAGAGAAGCAAGCAGATTTCTACTCATGCAATGGGGGCAATTTATTGCCCACGATGTTTCAAAAACTACAATGTTAAATAATCAGGTAGATTAATGGAAAAGTATTCCGGTTCGGAAATAATCCGAAAATTGCGAAAATACTTGGATTTCAGACCCGGACCCAGGAAAATTTGGATATATGTAGTTTAGTAGACGGAAGTTTTAGTTCCGATACAAGACCAATACCATTCGATTCGTCTTGACGAGCTGATTCGATTCGTCTTGACGAGCTTCGGGCACTATTAAGAATAATATCTAAATATTGTCGCGCATTCAGGTAATTCAGATTTTAGTAGATTATTTATTACATATGAATTATTAGAATAGATTTATGCTAATAAGTTTTTACTTGACATAGTAATCACTATATTTAACAAAACTGTCCAAAGCTTAATTTTTTGGATGCCTAATATTTCTTAGGCAAGTAATAGTATGCAATAAAAGATACAAAGTTTAAAAAATCATAACATACTAATAACTAATATCCCCTATTTCTTCAAATAGTGCGACCTGTCGGATTATTTTTCAGTCATCCTCTAGAGTGTCGGTTTCAGTGCTGCGTATTGGGCATTTGATGTGTCCGTCTCCGGTGTTTTCAAATTCCTGGCTCCGGCTTCGCGTAGCTGCCTACCGTTCCATACCCAGCACTGATCGCTTTATTATAGGGGGACGGTCTAACGAGATAGTCGCACTTTAGAATAAATACGGTAATTATCTAAAGGTTTATGGAAGCAGCCATCGAGACCAATTTGTGTTTCGCCAAGGTGCTTTTATGAAAACAAACGTCCTTCGTTCCCGTGTATTTCCACCTGTCGACAATAATCAAAATATTATTGCTGGAGATGATAGGGCGAATATTTTTGTTGGTTTAGCTGCTTTGCATACTCTTTTTGTTCGGGAACATAATCGGTTGGTTTATGAACAATAAATAATTTTTTGTTAAAGGTACCAAGGATCTATCCGTATGGATAACCGAATTGAATTTATTTATGTGATCCTTCGTATTAATTAATAGAATAGAGTTTTGTTAATAATATTTTTACTTTTATCCTTCATGATGTTTTTTAAGCCAATAGTATATTTTTGGGTGCCTAATATTATTAGGCAATTAATTAATGTTTAATTTTTCACGAACAAAGAAAAATATAATTTTGAAAATTTCGTCACAATATTTACTTTTAAAGTTCCTCAAAAGACATGCCACAAACCCTCAAGATCTTGAGGGTTTGTCTTTGTTGCACCAAAGGTGCACTAGGAAGGTTGGTGGATTCGAATGTCAGAAAATTTTCGGTTCGAATGAGAGATTTCGAATAATGCCGACTCTATCAACTCTATCCTTTATTAAAAATTCTCCAACACTAGTTTTGTTATTTTTAAAGTATTGCTTTGCTTCTTCAAAAAGTGAATCCTCATTGGGACCATGATAGAGTTTATTTGGAGACAAGAAGAATTGTTGGGGCTGTTATACAAGTATTTAATTATTAAATGATTTTAGAGAATTTTCTGTTAATTTTCAGAAAATAACATATGAAGATTATTTGCCTAGGCTTTTTGGCAAAAAATTTGATGAACTTATTGGAAAATATAAGGGATATAATCCAAAAGTTGACCCCTCAATTTTTGTAGGTTTTATTTACTGATTAATTTTTGAATAATTTTTTGCATTATTATTGTGGTCCAAACCAGGGATGGGCCGGGTTGAGAAAAAAGTCGGGTCGGGTTTCGGGTCGGGTTTTCAAAATTTTCTTCGGATCGGGTTTCGGGTTTCGGGTTGAAAAAAAGTCCGGGTTTCGGGTCTCGGGTCGGGTTTCGGGTCGGGTCAGTTAAAAATTTGACCAAGTAGCCATATTTTTCGGAGTGGTTGGGGGATATCAGTGATTTGCGGGATTAATAAGAGAATATATAAGAGTGATATAATAAATTACAGAGATTACATGGATTTGGATGGATTAAGAGTAATATCAGGGGATTTGGGGATATAAAGGCATTATAAGTATCTGGAATTAAAAATAGAGTAGGTGCTTTCCTGCGCAGAGAAAGTGCCAATTTTAAAAATTTTGGATTTTAAGAACCTTCTCCTTAAAATAATTTTATTTCTAAGTAGGCGATTGTGATTTTTAAAAATAAAAAATCTAAAAAAGCCGTCTTTAGGGGTGAGTCCATTCCTGATACCTCCCACAGATAACTCCAGAAACCCTCTTGATCCTTAAATATCGTGCCCAACTTCCACATTTTGGAGCTCAAGAAGCCAAATTTCTTCCATATTCAGCGTCGCAGGCGAAAAGTTTAAGAATTTTGAAAGGCCAAGAAGCCTGATTTCTTTCCTTTTCAGCGCCGCAGGCGAAAATTTTGCGGATTTTGGAAGGCCAGAGAGCCAAAAACCTTCCCTTTATGTAATAAAATTCCATGAAAAATGTCGGGTTTCGGGTCGGGTTTTCGAAAATTTCTCGGGTCGGGTTTCGGGTTTCGGGTCGAAAAAAAGTCCGGGTTTCGGGTTTCGGGTATCGGGTTTCGGGTAACCCGGCCCATCCCTGGTCCAAACCGAACAGTCTACTGAATTCTCCTTCAACCACCCCATATTAAATAAAGAAAATACTGTAAAGCATATAGCTATTTAATTCCTAAGGCTATGCATAGGCGGCCTGGTGTAATGGCTAACGCATCATTCCAGTCTACTGAAGATGCTGGTTCGCTCCCAGCGCCGATTAACCTTTTGCACTAGCTAAAGGAGAGAAATAGTTATAGCCCAGCTGCTTTACTTTACTTCATTTATGGGATAAACTTGTTTAAGATTTTAACCAAGAAGCGGCCTCGGATATTCAAAAAACCGTATCGCGCTGGGCTCATAACATAGTGGTTCTATTCCATATCCTATCCAATAAATATTGACATAGCACAATTATAACTAGGGTTGCGCTAGGTCGAGGTTTTTCGAAAAACCCGAGACTGAAAAAGCCTCGGCGAGCCCTCGACCTCGCGCAACCCTAATTATAGCTCGGTGATACGGTTTAATAATCGGTTGTATTTAACCCTACTTTATATCAATTAATCCGACGAAGATTGTGTTTAAATAACTTGATTTAAATGTTAAACACTATTCTTTTACTTTGTAACTTTCTATTTTTGGAAGCCAATTTCTCTTTGGCTAATTCGTTTAGAGTTATCTGTTTTAATCGTTGCGTATTTCTTTTTTGGCTAATCTTTTGAATTTTTTGGACTCGTAAAAAACTCTCAAAAAAATCTCGATAATAGGGAAAGAAATGAGAGAGAGAGAGTTTTAAACTACCATACCTCCAAATTCTTCCATAATTTTTTTAACTTTTAGAATGAATTTACAAGTTGCGCATTTCGGTTTGGTCATGGAATGATTCAAGTGCTTACTTCTTTTTATTCTAAATTTTAATTTTTTTTAGGAATTTTATCCTTTCTTTAATCAAGAATTTGCTCAAATTGGTAAAAAGAATTTTCTAATTTTTTAAAAATTAATTTATTTTTGGGTGGAATACCATTCAATGAAGGGATGTTTAAATCTGTCCATATTTTGTAAGGCAAAAATTTTTTGAGAAAAATTTTTTTATTTTTTAGAAATAATGGAATAGATCCTTTAGTAAGAGGTAATTTTGACTGGAAAAAATTTTATTTTAAAAATAATTTTCAAAAAAATATTTTTAGGTTTAATGTCATTACCTGCAAGACTGCCACAAAGACTGACTGTTTCTGTAACTGAAAAGATTTTTGGAAATTCTGATTTGGGGTAAAAGTTAAAATTTAATTAAAATAATAAAGCGAAGACTTTTGGTTTGGTTCTACTTGTCTATTTTTAACAAATTTCCAAGCAATTTTGCTATAAATTTACTATATTAATTCCAATTTACTCAGAAAACAACCATTTTTCTAGCTTAATATTATAAATCTAAAAATAATTTCTATATGCCTAACTAAATCTTGACATATTAATTAATCATATAATTGTTTTTGTTTTTTTGTAAGCTAAACAGCGTTTTAGCTATTCTAAGCTTAATTTCAAGCAAAAAAGTACTTCGCTCATTTTGCGTTGGGAAATTAATAAAATTAATTAATAAAATTTTGAAAACTTAAACAGTTTTATTATTTTAACCAAGAATTTCTTAGTAAGAGGTAATTTTTACTGAAAAAATTTTATTTCGAAAATAATGTTCAAAAAAAAATATTTTTAGGTTTAATGTCATTACCTGCAAGACTGCCACAAAGACTGACTGTTTCTGTAACTGAAAAGATTTTTGGAAATTCTGATTTGGGGTAAAAGTTAAAATTAAAGTAAACACATAAAGTGAGGACTTTTCGGTCCTGGGTTTTCTCGTCTATTTTCGACAAATATTTTTAAACTTTTTGATATAAAGACACAATAGTAATTCCAATTAGATTTCTCATATTTTGAGCTTAATATGAGAAATCTAAAAATAATTTTTATACATATTGCCTATCTTAATCTTGCCATATTAATTTTTTCCACATCGTTCTTTTTATTTTTGTAAGCTAAACAGCGCTTTAGCTATCTAATAATTTGAAATTTTAAGAAGTTAGTGACATTGGCGACTTAATTTTAAAAGAAAATCCCTTCGCTTTTTTTGTGTTGGGAAATTTAACACTTTTTTTGTTAATTTAAAAATAGTTCTATAAAAGCTTTAGTTTTTTGTGAACTGTAATTTTAAAATTAGGAATAAAAAATTTCTTTCAATTAATAAAATTCTGAAAACTTAAACAGATTTACATATTATTTTAACCAAAAATTTGCCGTAAAAAGACTTGGACTATAGGGAACTATTATGTCATTGGGTCAAAGTATTCAATCTATAAATTTTTTAAGAAATCTTTTAAGTGAATTTTGTAAAATTATCGCTAAATTAGCAAGCTGGCAAAATAAAAATAGCTTTAAGATAATAATTTTAATTAATATAAGTATTTAAATTATTTTCGAATGAAAAACGTGCATTCTTTTTCTCAATGGTTTTTCATTGTTTAATTTTATTTTAATTTTTTGGAAGCTAAGCTTTTTTACCTTAGCTAATATTAATTATAGATTTTAATTTAAAAAACCACTCTCAATTTCCAGTTCAATCAACATTCAACGAGGGAGAGACCACGGAATTCCTGGATATATTGCTTGGCGTAGTTTATGTAATTTGCCACATGTCAAAGACTTTGCTGATTTAAACACAACAATTAGTAATGAAATTGTGAGGGAAAACTTGAAAATTTTGTATAAAAAAGTTGAATTGATTGATATGTATGTTGGTGCTCTTTTAGAGGATCCTATTGAAGGGGCACTTATTGGTGGGTTTTTTAGTTTGATCATTAGTGTCGTGACACTAATAACGAAAACAAGCAATAACTTGAGAATTTTGGAAAGCCAAGACAAAACGTAACGCAAAGCCACCTGCAAACGAATGCGCGTGTATCGGACTTCGGATCGAAAGAGTATCCGAGTATCGGTATTCGGATAACACTAGCTACCGTATTAATTTATGTTTAATATGAAAAATTCAAAAAAATTTCTATAAAATTTAAAAATTGAAATATGCAATATTAGTAGAAAATATTATTTGAAATAAGTAATTATTTTTGTAAGTTAAACAACGTTTTAGCTATTTAATGGTAAATATTCATCGCAGATTAGATTTCCCTCGTTATCTTCTTCCTCCTTTAGAAGAAGGAAGATTGTTAAAATCATTTCAAAATTTATTTTTAAAAATTTTTAAGGTCCAACATTAGCTTGTGTTGTTTCCAAGCAGTTCAAGGCTCTAAGAGATGGTGATCGGTCAGTTTTACAAAAGAATAATTACATTATCCTAGCATAAAACATAAATTAAATCTAAAGGCGAAAAAAATTTTTAGAAGAGGGGAATATGCCGTTTTTATATCGGGAATTCTCTCTTACTTAAACCAAAAACTGTTCAAAAATTTTTCCCTTTTTTTCTACGAATTAAAAATAAAACTTTTTTCTAATTTCAAATTTTCTTGTAGAATTTACATCAAAATTTTATTAGATTTTTCTTTTTTCACAGATTTTTCTACGAAAACCCAGACATACTTTCCAGTGAACAAATAAAACAAATAAAACGTGCAACTCTAGCTAGAATACTTTGTGATTCTGGCGATTCTATGAAAAAAGTTTGTAAATTTTTTTAAAGCTTTTTTTCAATGATTAGAAAAGTCTAGAAATTTTCAAAAAAAAAATTAAATTTAAATTTCAAAAGCTAAATTAAAAACGTTTGTCTTGAAATAATAAAAAGTAGCTATTTTTGTAACTTATTAATTAATACAATTAATTAATTATAATTTATTTTTAATAAATTAGCAGTTAAATTGTTTTATCTTCTGAAGCCTCTTAATTTTTTGGATGTCTAAAAATTTAAATTAGACAAATTTATTAATTGGGACTTTAAATTTTTAGTCAACTAGCGTTGGCAAAAATGAAAAATTAGATTCTTAGACACTTATTCATAAATCAAATAATTTGAAATTTTGATTTTGGCTTCCAGTCAAGTTTCAGACCCAAATTTCAAAAATATTATTTTAACAAAATTTTGGGTTGACCGATTTCTAATTAATTCTTTCAGGTACCCAGACATGCATTTAATCAAGCAAAGGCTGAAGACCTAATTAATTGTGACCAGATTGATTCGCCAAATTATTTTAAATGGAAGGAGGACCAGCTTGGGATTTAAATAATTTTTCTAATTTTGACAATCTTATTTGTCCCAATTATTATTTTCAATTTAATTTAACTCCTATACACATAATTCTAATATATTTCTCCACTGAAAACCTTATCTATATTTACGGCGCGTAATTTTTAAATTAAATTTTCATCACTGACCAGTCTAATAAAATATAAAAACCTTCGGGAGAACAAGCGATTCTTTAGAGCTGAATTTTTAATTATAAATGTTTTGGATATCCAAAAATTCCCATAATCCACCAGCTCTGTCCTTAAATTTAAGTTGGTTCTGAACAAGAAGTTTTCATTAGTCTTGAGGCTAAAAAAGATTTTTTTCTAAAAAAGATTTTTTAAAAAAGATTTTTTTCATTTTGAATCAATCCAAAACACATTTCTGTTAGTTTATTTATTTCATCTATTAAATACTTTAAAATTTTGTACACTAATTCTTCAAATATTTTTTAATAATTCCCCTCCGTCTAAATTTTTGCTCAAAATTATTTAAACCCATTCAACTGAATAAAAATTATTTTTTTTTGTATTTTTCTTTTCGAATAATTAATTAAAATAATTTAACTTTATTTTTGATAAAAATTTTCAATTTAATAAATTATCGAAAATATTTTTATTTTGCTTTAGATTAAGTAATTTAATTAGGATTTTATTTTTTTTGTATTTCTCCCTGACCCCTTGTTATGTCTTGCACAACAATAAAATAGCAATACATAAGGTTGGGGTAACAATTAGGAGACAATTAACTGATAATTGTGTGAGGCTTTTATAGTATTTTAATAAGGTTTAAATACTAGCCACTACACTATAACACCCTTCGTGTTCTGAATAGAGTTTGGCACAGTTCTTTATATTAATTTTCTGTTAAAGTAAGCTTTAACATCCAAAAATAATCCAAATGGAACAAAAGAAAAATATATTTTGCCAATGTATTAGCATATTTATTAATAAATTTAGGAATAAATTAAATATGAAGCAATATAAATTTTAGTCTTATCTTTAAATTAAAAATTTATAAATTTAAAGAATATGACTTTTTACTAACAAATTACCAGAAATTAAAATTGTTTTTTTTATCTATCTTAGATCTTTGGACAATAATTTTGGACAACAATTGGTGAACTAGTCTCAATTATTTTAACTTATAGCGTCGAATAACGATAAATAATCATAAAAAAGAGCTAGTATTTTCCTTAAATTGTGGTAATAATCATGTTTCTTAAATTTCTGAAAAAGTCATTATTAGTTCACTAGTCTCAATTATTTTAACTTATAGCGTCGAATAACGATAAATAATCATAAAAAAGAGCTAGTATTTTCCTTAAATTGTGGTAATAATCATGTTTCTTAAATTTTCGAAAAAGTCATTATTAGTTCACTAGTCTCAATTATTTCAACTTATAGCGTCGAATAACGATAAATAATCATAAAAAAGAGCTAGTGTTTTCCTTAAATTGTGGTAATAATCATGTTTCTTAAATTTTCGAAAAAGACATTATTAGTTCACTAGTCTCAATTATTTCAACTTATAGCGTCGAATAACGATAAATAATCATAAAAAAGAGCTAGTATTTTCCTTAAATTGTGGTAATAATCATGTTTCTTAAATTTCTGAAAAAGTCATTATTAGTTCACTAGTCTCAATTATTTTAACTTATAGCGTCGAATAACGATAAATAATCATAAAAAAGAGCTAGTATTTTCCTTAAATTGTGGTAATAATCATGTTTCTTAAATTTTCGAAAAAGTCATTATTAGTTCACTAGTCTCAATTATTTCAACTTATAGCGTCGAATAACGATAAATAATCATAAAAAAGAGCTAGTATTTTCCTTAAATTGTGGTAATAATCATGTTTCTTAAATTTTCGAAAAAGTCATTATTAGTTCACTAGTCTCAATTATTTCAACTTATAGCGTCGAATAACGATAAATAATCATAAAAAAGAGCTAGTATTTTCCTTAAATTGTGGTAATAATCATGTTTCTTAAATTTCTGAAAAAGTCATTATTAGTTCACTAGTCTCAATTATTTCAACTTATAGCGTCGAATAACGATAAATAATCATAAAAAAGAGCTAGTATTTTCCTTAAATTGTGGTAATAATCATGTTTCTTAAATTTTCGAAAAAGTCATTATTAGTTCACTAGTCTCAATTATTTCAACTTATAGCGTCGAATAACGATAAATAATCATAAAAAAGAGCTAGTGTTTTCCTTAAATTGTGGTAATAATCATGTTTCTTAAATTTTCGAAAAAGTCATTACTAGTTCACTAGTCTCAATTATTTCAACTTATAGCGTCGAATAACGATAAATAATCATAAAAAAGAGCTAGTGTTTTCCTTAAATTGTGGTAATAATCATGTTTCTTAAATTTTCGAAAAAGTCATTATTAGTTCACTAGTCTCAATTATTTCAACTTATAGCGTCGAATAACGATAAATAATCATAAAAAAGAGCTAGTATTTTCCTTAAATTGTGGTAATAATCATGTTTCTTAAATTTTCGAAAAAGTCATTATTAGTTCACTAGTCTCAATTATTTCAACTTATAGCGTCGAATAACGATAAATAATCATAAAAAAGAGCTAGTGTTTTCATTAAATTGTGGTAATAATCATGTTTCTTAAATTTTCGAAAAAGTCATTATTAGTTCACTAGTCTCAATTATTTCAACTTATAGCGTCGAATAACGATAAATAATCATAAAAAAGAGCTAGTGTTTTCCTTAAATTGTGGTAATAATCATGTTTCTTAAATTTTCGAAAAAGTCATTATTAGTTCACTAGTCTCAATTATTTCAACTTATAGCGTCGAATAACGATAAATAATCATAAAAAAGAGCTAGTGTTTTCCTTAAATTGTGGTAATAATCATGTTTCTTAAATTTTCGAAAAAGTCATTACTAGTTCACTAGTCTCAATTATTTCAACTTATAGCGTCGAATAACGATAAATAATCATAAAAAAGAGCTAGTGTTTTCCTTAAATTGTGGTAATAATCATGTTTCTTAAATTTTCGAAAAAGTCATTATTAGTTCACTAGTCTCAATTATTTCAACTTATAGCGTCGAATAACGATAAATAATCATAAAAAAGAGCTAGTGTTTTCCTTAAATTGTGGTAATAATCATGTTTCTTAAATTTTCGAAAAAGTCATTACTAGTTCACTAGTCTCAATTATTTCAACTTATAGCGTCGAATAACGATAAATAATCATAAAAAAGAGCTAGTGTTTTCATTAAATTGTGGTAATAATCATGTTTCTTAAATTTTCGAAAAAGTCATTATTAGTTCACTAGTCTCAATTATTTCAACTTATAGCGTCGAATAACGATAAATAATCATAAAAAAGAGCTAGTGTTTTCCTTAAATTGTGGTAATAATCATGTTTCTTAAATTTTCGAAAAAGTCATTACTAGTTCACTAGTCTCAATTATTTCAACTTATAGCGTCGAATAACGATAAATAATCATAAAAAAGAGCTAGTGTTTTCCTTAAATTGTGGTAATAATCATGTTTCTTAAATTTTCGAAAAAGTCATTATTAGTTCACTAGTCTCAATTATTTCAACTTATAGCGTCGAATAACGATAAATAATCATAAAAAAGAGCTAGTGTTTTCCTTAATTTGTGGTAATAATCATGTTTCTTAAATTTTCGAAAAAGTCATTATTAGTTCACTAGTCTCAAT